AATGACACGAAACAATATGTGTTCAGATACCACATGTATCTGGACATACTTAATGGTGGCTTTCAGTTTTTGAAGTACTTTGCCCATTTGGTTTTCATGTGGGTTTTTATATTCCCATTACCTTTGGGTTTCTCATGCACAAATAATGCCTCCTCTGACATCTGCTTGCTGAACATACATGAAGTGAAGAGGGAATTTCAATTTGTCCTTCTGATGAAGGGTCACTGGATTGGATTTTGTGTTCTAGAACAGCAGGTGAGGAATGGAATGGGGAACTCAGGTGCCAAGAGCTGGAATTCTGGATAATTTGGGACTGGCTGTATAGTCTGCTGTCATTCCCACTTCTGAGGAATAAGCGCTTCCACAAGCTCCTGCCTTGAAAGCAGAAGATCCTTCATCTTCACTCACGCCGCTATAAAGCCTTAAAAAAAGGAAGGAGAAAGGTCTCATTGCAAACTAGTGCCAAGCAAGCAGTAAAGAAATATTAGTGTTAGTATCTTTGGCCTCTGCAAGACCAATCACTCCTGAGGGTGGTACTTACTTCATTGCAAAGAACGTTTCGTAGTTACCACTGAAACCATAAAAATTCAGTTTCACTCAGATAATTCTGGATTCATAAAAACTGAAAAGATGACAAAGGAACAAATTCCAGCTTAAAACAGAAACTCTGCAACTTCAGGCCTAAAGAGCTGGAGTTTCCAGCTCTTAAGCTTTCTCGGTCTTTTTTGACTGCAGAGTTAGGTATTTTGTGTCACTGTAAGCGAGGACGTGGTCCACACCAAATCTCTCCCTGTGGAGAACAGGTTTTGTTGACAAATGCTGTTTCTGTGATAGAGTTGTTTGGTCCCGTTGACAAGCACATGCTTTTATTGTTGAACCTTTTGACTTGTTGGTCCCAGTGACTTGTAGAGAGCTGTGCAGCGTGCTTAAGTGCTTCCTTGAGATACTGTTACAGGATTTTTCCAGAGTAGCAGCAATACAGACAGCTGAACTCTTAAACTGGAGATTTGGCATATGCATAGCCCTTGGTGGATAGTGTGTTCTGTGTAATTTGGAAAAGATTAGTATGAAAGGACAATTGAAAGTCCATATGATATCACTTATGGTGTGAAATGCTGGTTAACATCATCACTCAAACTTAACATTCTACAGGCACACTGAGTAACTTCAAGGGACACAGATAATTGAAGTTGGCCAACAAAACTTCATTTCTGTCCAGGAATCTATATACTTGATAAAAACAATGGTGACTGCTGTTCTTGTACTACAAATGGAGGGAGGGTTTTTACACTGTTAAGAGGTCCCAAACAGCAAAGTTCTGCCTGAACAGAATAAGTTGGGAGAACCGGGTGTGAGGTTGCCAGAGGAATCAAGTTTAATCACAAGGACTCTAGCCTGAGGCATACATTGTCATAAATGGATGCGTATCAGCTTCTAATAGCAAGTAACACCTACTTGTTTCCTCCCACAACCTGAGATCACCAATACTTTTGACCACTTGTATAAACTATAGTTTCCTTTCAAATGTGTTTTTAACACTTAAATCTACATCTCTGAAGCAAGAAGAGTAGCATTTACAACTTTGTGTATCTCTCAAGATCTGTCAGAACAAAGTAAAGGAATTAACAGTTGACTTCCTGCTGTCTTGTTTTAAACTTCTGTAACATCTTTATATCCATGGCTACCATTGAATCTTTTCTGCAGTGTCCCAAAACAGCTTTTGTCATGGCAGGGATGATGTATACTTTGAATGAAGCTGCTCAGCTACTGCTTTCATCTCTAGTAGACGGTGTTTTCTTTTGCAGTGGAGTTGGAAGATTTAAGTGTCTTCTATGAAGGTTCAGTGCTTAAAAAGGGATCAGATCTAATACTACTAATCAGATCAATAGTACTAATCAGCATATTGATTAGGAGTAGTGGAAAAAGCCTAAGTCGTTTTCATTTATGACAAAACTTCCAGCCCTCTCTCATAGCTAGTGCCCCTTTCCTTTGAATTAATCAAAGGAAAACTGGAGCAACTCTGATAGACGTGGAAAACCTGGAGTATTCACTAGCAGTTTTACAGAACTTCTGCTTGTGCCATAGGGAGTAAAAGAGCCAAGAATCCAGAGTAAGCAGAATGCCTGGCTTCTGGTAGTACGTGACCTGTCCCTCTCCCTGTTTAACCCCTTCTTGTCACATGTTTAAATCCAAACCCTGAAGTTTCCATGTCTGTAGCTTTTCAAAGTGTAGCTCTCAAAGAAACTACCACAACTCCTCACTATTTGTAACCTAACTTCCCACCAGTTCAAAAGCCAGGACAAAATGTGTACCATATTTAAGTCAGTACAGAAATGAAGGAAGTTCTGAAAACCAGCACATTGAATAGCAATGCTTTTAGTGACAGTAAGACAAGTTTCCGCACATCTATAAGCATTTTCTGTTTCCTGTCTCTATATAAGCACTGTAGTGATACTCTGAGACAATTAAAACCTTCTTAAAAAGCTCAAGATTTGAACACATGGTGAAGTGTTCCAACATCAAGTAAATATGTTTCAGAAGGGATAAAATTCCATCTGATTACTTGTACGTTCCCCAAGCAATGGGGGCAGCAAGTTAGTATGCAGCTCAGTTGTAATCTCACCTATGGAATGCACTTAGTAGCAAATGAGGGAAATCTTTGACATTTTTTTCCTTTATATGCTTGCCAAGAAAGATTAAACCAGGCACACTTGCACAAGCCTTTAGGGTTCTCACTCCTACTAGCTTCCACAGTTACTCTTCTTTTAATATGGGGAGGGAGGTGATTGATCTTTAAATGTGTCTTTTGGTGGCGTGATCACAGATCTGATTTCCTTTTCTTTTAATCAAAAAACCTGATTACCAGTACTTAAAAATAAATGAAGCTGTAAAAAAGTTGCAGAAAAACAATTCCAGCTGCAGGATGGCTCAGCTGTGACTGAGCCTGCTCTTTAAGCTGCACCAAACCAGAAACTGCCTGAATTTCCAGAAAGCATAACATACATTACATTTGTAACTAAGAATTGTGGAAGAGATCGGTTTAACCCTGTCACTGTACCCACATGCATGTTAGAATAGCAATTTTAATGTAATATGAACTGCCAACATACAAATGACCAGCCCAAATTGTCTTCTGTCTTCTAACTGGAATGTAAGAGCATACCAGGTTCTGGCCTTTCTACAAATCCTCTTCTTTTGAACTAGAGTACAGAAAAACATTATTTACTGTATGTCCTGTCTGTACACCCAACTTAAGATGTTGTGGGTAAGCTCTGTAAGGTCTCTCTCTGTAGGTTCTCTAATGCATAAGAAGAGTGTGATGCTATGGTTCAGTCTAAAAGGGATGCTTTGGCACCTTTCTCTTTCGCAAAATAACAACTGACTCAGTTATGGCCAAGACTGCTGCTCTGCTGTAACCCTGAACTAGCTCATCAAGTTCTGCAGATATTCCTGGGGAGACAGACTAAGGCTGGGATCACATAAGGAAATACAGATAGCCATGAAAAGTAGTTTGTAAGCTAATCACCAGGTTAGCAAGGAGAAAGATAACCAACTTCCTCATACACCAGTTTTAAGTTGTTAACCTTTCTGGTAGCCCCTCAGTGAAGGGACTGCCCACCCTTTACTGGCATCACCATCACTATAAATAAAGAATATGGTACTTGTCATCTTGTGCAGAACATTGCACAACATTTTTACCTTTATTAAGATCTGAGTAAGGGAATGGGTTAGCCCATTATCCTGATCTGTAAGTAAGGCACTACAGCACCACTATTACAAATAGTCTAAGGAAAATAAGTATTACTTAGGCAAGTTTTTGAAGTAAAGCCAGGGTTACTGGAATTTTCCGTTCCCTTTAGCAGAAAAATAGAGAACAGAATACTGTAATTTTCTGTTTGGTCAGTTTGGAGTTGGGGATTACTAACACGAGCCAAGATGTAGCAATTGTCTCTACCCAAGTCCTTCAGAATGGTTGGAATTCTAATCTCCTGCAGTATAAATAGCTGCTAATAATCTGCCCTTTCTGGGTTTAAGTCTACGACTATATGTAAAAACTCTGAAATGTACATGTTTTTATCTGAATGTGAACAGCTTTACATGAGTTTCTGGTAGGAATTTGTAAGCAGCTGATGGGACCCGAGCTGGTTTTCCATTAGTTACATGTTCTGTGCTTGCCTATCAGGTTTTGCCTGTCTTACGAAGGTGGAAAAGCATTGCCAACCTCCGCACTAGAGGAGGCTCTTTATGCCATAAAATCTTGGGTTCAGATCACTTGTTTTGTTTGCAGACAAAGTAGCAGTGCTTTCAGGGATAGAATTCTTACTTGCCAATAGTGAAAAGCATTGCAAAAATAACAGGTTTAGGCTGAAGGAAGCTTGAGCTCCTTTGCAGTGTCTGCAGAGGAGAGAAACAAGGGCAGAGAGTAGAGCACAGACCACCTTAGCTGCTAGCATTCAACTTCACTGGTTTTAAGCGTTCCATTCACATGGATTGATTTCTAGTGATTGACACATTGAGTAGTGCAGTCTGAACATCTGGAAAAGGAGTTTTTAAATTATCTTGCTAACAGTTCTGGGCCTCTGTTTAATGCCTTAACTTCAAAGACCATTGCAGGTTTTCTCTCTTTTCAATTAAAAGACATGAGATCACAGTTTATTCCATCAGAGTCTTCCAGCAAGGCCAAAGAAAAGAGAAATAGCAGGCATACCAAAGCTGGAGTTTCAAAAAGCCACACACAAACCTCCCAGAATCCTCAGCAAGATAACTCTGAATGTTGTAGCAACAAGGGGAAAACTTACTCGGTCATCTCCATTAAGTATAATCTAGCTGAAAATACCCATCCCATGATAATCTTCAGATGAAGAACTTCAAATCTATCACCTGAAAGTTCCCGTGTAGAAATCTAAATCTGAGCAGCAGTACTGCTGGCATGGCAGTTCAGAGTTCTTGTGGTTGCAGTTTTCCCTTGTGAAGTAACTTTATGGCTGCTTGTGTTACAGATTGCCCTGAAGTATGACCCTCAGATAGAAGAAGATCTGCGGAACTGGATAGAAGAGGTGACTGGGCTGAGCATTGGTGCAAACTTTCAACTGGGATTAAAAGATGGCATCATCTTATGCGAGTAAGCATCAAAGTAACCATATCTTTAGCAGTTTTCTACTTTCGAGAAACTAAGAAGGGACTTTCTGAAGACTCCCCTTCAAACACATCAACAACAATAGTCAAAGATAGCTGACGGTAGGGTGGGAGACAGCTGTGGATAAATGAAAACTTAAATCTCCTTTATATTTCAGCAAAGATTTCTTAAATATTCCTAAATTTAACAGTGAAGCTCTTTCTGTAATAACCAAATGGCATACAAAAATTCTCACTGTCTGTGAGAGCTGAGATCTGAGCTAGACACTCGGTATAAACCAAGAAATTAACCATTTTGATGAAACTAATGCAACTAATAAAGCATGAGTGAAAATACTACATGATGCCTGCAACAGATGGTATAAGGATGATATTTATTGTTTAAGCATTTCCCTTTTTTTCACCTCCCCAGGCTTATAAATAAGCTGCAGCCAGGATCAGTGAAGAAAATTAATCAATCAAAACTAAATTGGCACCAGGTAAACCAAAAAAAACCCCCAAAACTACACCTCTAACACCTCCAACCCCCAAACAGTTCTTCAGTTCTTTTGCTCTGTATTAACAAATCTGCTGTGAATATGGTACACCTTCAATCTTAATAGCACTGAGTTTTGTATGATACATACGCAACAGCTGAGGACACTGCATACGTTAACAGCATTTAACAGAAAACAAATACAGCTGAGATAGCTCCTAAATGGCAGTTGAGTGCATATTTAATAGTAGTGTAGCTACTGTTAGGTGTGTAGTAGCCGTTAGGTGAAATTCCAGATGGAAGAAGAACGTAGAGCTGTATAGCAAGGACTTTTTCCAAGTTTAAAACAAACACACACCCCCAAAAAAAAAACCAAAAAAAAACCCCACCAAACGCAAACCAACTGTTAAATACTGAATTAAACCACAACTGGGAGGGGAAGTCTCGGAAGAAATGGTTGTGTAACAGAAAACAATATGGTGCAGACTACACTATTTCAGTGTATCCAGATTTGATTTCTTCTGAGTGCTCTACCCAGCACATCCCCCTAGCTGAGGGATTATCAAAGGCAACATGCATTTAGAACAAGCACTGGAAGGTTGCTGGTTAGAGCTGACTGCCTTTACGGCTGCTGGGATTAGCTTGATACTGCTGTGTCAGCCTCTTGGTTTTATTGGCATTGAATCCTATTAGATATGGTGGAGGATTTCTATATTTTTAACAAGTTTTAATACCTCTTAAGACCTCAGAAGGAAAGGTGGGATTCAGTCCTTACTCCTTGTACTCCATATGTTCCTCCAGTTTCTGTGGTGCACAGTGCTAAAAGTGCTTAGTTGAATGTGTTCCAGGAGGTGAGTGAGATAATACCTTCAAACCAAGTGAAACATTCTTACTATCCACATAGTTGTGTTTTTGTTTTACTCAGAATTATCAATTGCTGAAGTCAGACAGCATGTCAGATTTTCCGGTTTGAAGCAGAGTTTCCATTAGGATTTCTCTTGGAAGGGACACAGTTGAGGCTGTTTTTGTCTAACCAAGTATGTGATACTCATTAGAGTAGGCTAGATAAAGGCTCAGATTGATTTCTGAAGTCAGTGTTAAAACAAGACTTCCCACTAGTCAATCTTAAACTAACACCAGAAAGCTTTAGAATTCCTTAGTTTCTGAATTGAACACTGAGTAGAAAACTGGCTTTATGTTTCTGTTTAGCTGGAGAACATTGGGAATTTTATCAAAGCCATCCAAGTCTACGGCATGAAGCCACATGATATTTTTGAAGCAAATGATCTTTTTGAAAATGGAAATATGACTCAAGTACAGACTACTTTGGTGGCACTAGCAGGTTTGGTAAGTATTTGTACCCATGGAATTGCCACACATTCACATGCCAGTCCAGATGCACCCTTACCAGACATGTAAATAGGAAAAGCAGCATGCAGCCTGTCACGAGGGGCTAGATCATAGAATGGGTTGGGAGAGACTCATTCAGCTTCAACCCCCTGCCATGGATGGGGACACCTTCCACTAGAGCAGGTTGCTCCAAGCCCCTGTGTCCAACCTGGCCTTGAACACTGCCAGGGATGGAGCAGCCACACCTTCTCTGAGCCACCTACGCAGATGACTTGACTGCACATGGTCTTGCTCTGGAGCTGTGTGTGCATACACAGAAATGGGAAGGCTCACAGGAGAACACTAATCCCTGCAGAATATCCTTCTGACAAGATGCTTGGGTAGCTTTGGAGTGCCACTGTCAGATGGCACCGGGACTGCTGTCTCACCCCTGACAACAGAGTCTCATTTGAGATAAGTCTGCTTGTGGCATCAGTTGAGAGCCCAGGGTCAGGGCAGTAAGATCCTGACAGAAAATACACTCCAAACACTGAATACTCTTATTTTCCCTCTCCTTAAACAGGCAAAAACTAAAGGTTTTCATACTACAATTGATATTGGTGTCAAATATGCAGAGAAACAAGCACGAAGTTTTGATGCAGGAAAACTAAAGGCTGGGCAGAGTGTAATTGGCCTGCAGGTAAGTTTGAAATTCAAGCTTGCAAGTTAATATGTTACAGTTGAGAACAGCTTTCTTGCTTTGATTAACTGACCTATTGTTCATGCCAGACCAGCTGCAGAATCACAACATATTCTTATCATGGAAGGAAGTATGAGCTTCTAGCTTTTGTAAGCCATTAATTGGCTTTAGAAGCTCAGGTGACTTCCTGGAAGGTTTTCTATTTTAGATCTGCAGTAAGAGTGATAAGGAGGAAGGGGACAGCTAATGTTAGCAGTTTCTTCTCTGTCCTCTAAAGTGGTATTAAAGGATTCTTTGGCTAGCTAAAGCTCCTTATATGGTAGAAACTTTTCCTCTCCCCTTTCCTTAGTAGTTATAAAACCCAAAATAACTAGCATAAAATCTTAAAATGCTTGTGGTAGAGAAGTTGTGGTAGTGCAGTTGAATCATCACTGGCCAAGGGCAAGGGTAACGGTTGCATTTTGATGCATATGTCCATCCTAATTGCAGTGCAGTTGGGCAAATGCCAGTGACTGAATTGCCTTTGGTATGCTTTTGAAGCTCAGTATGGGGACAGGGTAATTTATTACAAGTAGTGGTCAAGCTACACGAGGAAAGCATACGCTGTAATTGCTTCTTCCTCAGCCATCAGTTACCAACCAGCTTTGTTTCCTTTGACTGGGCTTGCTGTACAAATAAAAATCCACCTCTTCCTTCCCCCACTAAAGATGGGCACGAACAAGTGTGCCAGCCAGGCAGGCATGACTGCTTATGGAACTAGAAGACACCTCTATGATCCAAAAATGCAAACTGATAAGCCCTTTGACCAGACAACAATTAGCCTACAGATGGGCACTAACAAAGGAGCCAGTCAGGTAAGCAGGACCGTGTGCAACACTTGTAGAGCAGATACAGCACTCGACCTGGGAGGCCTCGGTGGGATGGGAGGGTTTGTGTTGTGTGCAGTAGCAGAGTCTAACTGGCAGCAGCGAGAGGGGACACTTCAGCTGTGCTTTTATGCAGTAACTGAAGAACTTGAATTTCTTATCAGTAACAAGTGTGTTCTGTGCTAAGTGTCTTGAAGTGTAAAACCGACCCTCATGCTTCTAGGATTCCCACCTGGCTGCTATACCAGAAGAAAACAGTAATTTCATTTCAAGTACTAACTAGACACAGGCAAAAAAAGACACTGCTTCCTGGGTGCTACCCCAATCCAAACACTTAGTATGCTCTTTCCAAAATGGAAAACAAACTGAGGTTTTCTGCAAAGACTTTACTCTGTGCCCTACGTATGAGTGAACACTCGTGCTTCCAGTAAGGCGTATTAGTTGTAATCATAAATGTAGTAATTGCAGCTCTTGACCTTCTGACTGAACCTCTCTGACCGTGTTTTATTAGGCTGGTATGCTGGCGCCAGGTACCAGGAGAGACATCTACGATCAGAAGCACATATTGCAACCTGTGGATAATGCAACCATTTCATTACAAATGGGTACCAACAAAGTGGCTTCACAGAAGGGAATGAGTGTGTATGGGCTTGGACGGCAAGTGTATGACCCCAAGTACTGTGCTGCACCAACAGAGCCCGTCATTCATAACGGCAGCCAAGGAACAGGAACGAACGGGTCAGAAATCAGCGATAGCGATTATCAGGCAGAATACCCAGATGACTATCACGGAGAGTACCAGGATGACTATCAAAGAGATTACCATGGTCAGTACAGCGACCAGGGCATTGATTATTAGCTTGGCATCAGAAGTTCAGTATTAGTCCTTTATTTTATTCAGTAAGAACGAAACTAGCCTTGTGGAATTGTTACCTGTCTTTTCCTACACACTATACTTTAATGTACCTGAAGAAATACTGCCTTACATACATTCCTGTTTCCTTTCTCTGCCCTTTCCCTGTCTAGTTGCCTTTAGTGCTGTAACAGTTATAGGCTACAGCATAAACAGTAACTGCATATGAAGTAAAAGGAATACTGTGAAAGGGGGAGTGCTCTTGTACAGCCAGGTTGTCTAATAAGGAGCTATGCATTTTTACAATCTCTACTCAAACAGGTATTTACCTACCACAATAAGCCTTCATTTGACATATTTACAGCTTTTCTATTTTCCAGATGAGAGAAAAGAATTCCATGCTTAGAGTTAAATGTGGTCTTTGCCAATTAAATCTAAGACATCACATTAGTGATTTTAATATCATTACTATGTTTCTTAGGTATTGTTTGCTAATGGTAAGTCCTGCATTAGACATAAGCGTGCATTTGTGATTGTGTATTCATTCCATTATCAACACTGACCAAACTTAGAAATAGTTGTCTTACTAAAAAGGGAGCTTGTACAAAGTCTTGAGCCAACAAAAGTCCCATGATTGATGGTGCACTTACCTTTTATTGTGCCATAATATATCCATGTAGAAATGCTTTTTCTTCCTTGAACTGTATTTATTGCCACACTTCTCAAACTGATTCCAGTGTATTTTTATAAATAAATATTTTTTTCTTAAAGGTATGTAGAAGATCCTGTCTCATTTGTTAATGCTGCTGCTCTTAAAGATTAGATGCCACAACATTATTCCCAAATCAGCATCACCTTTGCCTATGTGAAGGGTAATGCAGAACTGCTGTCTGTCACAGGTTGGGTTCTTTCTTTTCCACAGGATTTAATGCAACAGCCTCGTAAAAATCCCCTGGGAGCGAGTGACAGTGACTCCGCAGGAAAGGAATGTAGCGCCTTTACAGCTGGGTTCACTTCCCCTGTACCGACCCAGAGATCCTTCACTGTTCACTAAACCCTTGCCTTTTTCTCAAGGCAGATGAGGAACTGCACATAGTTAATGCTGCCTCTGCTTCAGCCTATAGTCTTCACACTATGACCTGGAGAACTCAAAACATTCTTGCTTTAGAGTATGGAAAGAGATGTCCCAGTCTTTGTGCCTGCTGCTCTGCAGTCACAGTTCCTTAGTTACCAGTAGCAGAGCTTTGTTCTTATATGGAAAATGATTTCTTCCTCATTGCGTAGTGCAGACGGGCTGTACTAACCTGAGCTGGGTTTAACAGGAGTGGGGGCCACTGTTGCTGATCCTAACTTCTGTAAGAAAGTTGAAGGTGTTTTAAAAGTAGGTACAGGTTAAATTTACATTCACATATAAAATGTTTCGTACTTTCAAGTTCTGGACTCGTGAAGGATTCTTCCCTCAAGACTAGAAGTTGTTTCTGCTTTGTTCCATCAGTTTCTGTTATCTGTGGGTGTGATGTGGTGACCTGACTTTCAACTGACCTCTTTGTTTAGTAAGACTTAAGCTTATTTGTTTCACAGAATTTAAATGGGAAAGGACATCTAGAGGTCACTGGTCCAAGCCCTGCATTTGAGGCAAGAGAACTAGTGCCAGGATGCCTGTTCACACCTGCTCTTCCTGAACTATACCATTTCCACCCTTCCAAAAAGGGTGAAGTAGAGTCTCTCCTGAAGGCTTGAATCATGCCCTCCTCTCTTTCTGAATCCAAAACTTAGCTTTAAACCATGTGCACCCATGTTATGTATGTACTTGTGTACAAAATCTGATTATAAGGTATACTCAGAACATACTGTCACAGCTGTAATTTCTGGACTACGGGTTGTACAGCATTGCTTAAATGAAACACACTCAAATACAGCTTAATTGGAGTTTTCCAGTACCTTTCTTCTTTAAAAAGCAACATACTTGTATCCCTGTTGCCAGAGTTCCTGAGTCAAGGGCCAAAACACACAGTGTGAGGATCAAATATAAACAGGAAAAAAAAAAAAACAACAATGTGGAATAAGAACTGATTTAAATTCCAAGCAAACCTAGTATGCTCTGTAAACTGGTAGACAGGATTTATACATTGTAGAGACACTACTACTTGGAACCAGTCTTACTGGGACTTACGGCAGAGCAATATTGCTCTGCTGGGAGTACCATATGTTCACGCTTCCTTGCAGTTAGAGAGCTGTTGCTTGTTCAGCATGATTGTCAGTTTTCACAGCACCCACAAGCCAAGTGCCAGAAGTACCCAAGGGTAGAGCTTTAAGTAATGAGTTAGTGAGTCACAGCCAGTAGATGATCGGCTTTACCTGCCAGACAGAAAGTAATTAACCTATTTCCTTCTATTTCCTTCCCTTTTCATCATCTATCCCATATTCCTCATCTTTAAGTAAGTGGCTCATTAAAGTAGACCAAAGTAAAGTGAAGAATAAAAAGTAAGTATCTGTTAGCATTCCCTAGTGTGTAACTAATCTTTCAGCAGCAGATCAGATACAGTATTTAGCTGAAACAGTTTTGCCATTCAGGCCATCAGTGAGCTCTTCCATATATCACTTCCAAGCTGTGACTAATCAAGAGTTTATCAATCTGTTCACCTTGGCAGCTTGAATCATTTATCTGCAGTGATGTCTCACTGCCTGTATTGATGTGTACTTGACTGAACTCCCTGCCTGGAGTCATCTTCCCACCTCAGAAAGTCAAAGGAGCTTTTGAATGAAGAGTGAAATCAGGTGCCACTGGATAAAACCTAAAACTACCCCCCACTCAGCATGATGTGGAGCCCACAGAAGTGTATTAGAACCACAGTCCAGGTACAAAGTTTAAACAAAGCTCAAAGTTGTAACTTTCCACATCCCACTTCTGACTAGAGCCCTGACAGTCTCTTCACTACATGCCTCCATGCTGTATTTCACATCCATGTTGTAACTGTCAGTTCTGTAAATGATTATTTGCTACAGCTTCTCATCTCTTTCCAGCCGCTGCTCATCTGCTACTTCTTTGTCAAGCTTTAAATCCAGATACAAATGTTTTTGGCTTCGTCATTTCAGTTGCAAAGGGAAGAGCTGTTGATCTACAAAAAACAAGGACTATTCCTCACCTGCTTTATGGAGAGGAGCCAGTGGGTAGTTTATGATACTAACTTGTAAAAAACACTCCCAAAAGAGTATAATTCAAAGAAAGACACCTACCTCACAGCCATTAATTATCTTGTCTACAGAGGACTCCTATCAGTGATCATTTCATTGATGAGCTCAGCATTGTTCCTTACTTAGTTGCACCAGCTGTTCAGACATACAGAATAAATCAGGAATCAGCCAGCTCAGAGTGCCTCTACAAACATGTCTACGCTTACTGATCCAGGAACAACTGGCCCAGTGTGCCCAGAAGAGCATGAAAAAGCTCCATGTGAGCTGGCACACCACAACTTTCAGACCATCAGAAAAGTATTGATAAAAAACAGTTGTGCTGACACACAAAATGCTTTATTCATACAGATTGCGTGTCACTTACTTTACCAATGAAGAAGGTACAACAGAGATTTAGAGAACTAATACGTTGTCCTGGGGTATTGGGAATCTTTTTTGCTCTGATTGTTTTTGCTGTTGCTGCTCTGCCACTGTACTTCTTGGTGCACTTCACATTCAAGTCTACAAAGAGAGAACAAGGAGTCAAATCATGTGTAGCACTAGTCCTGTTACTGCATTTAAATGTCATAAGAGTAGACTGGGAAAGCAATTAAGGTTCTTTTGTGTCTCAAATCCACAATCATCTCCTGGGGAATGGCTCCCCACCCCCCTAATTTCTTTGCTTGGCAAAAATTTACTGAAGAATGCAGTAATAGACCCAAACAATGAAAAAATAAGGCACAACTATATCTCGCTGCAGGAATAAACCATCTGCCTATAGCAAAATGCCCACAAGATTGTGTGAGAGCTTGTTATAGCCTGGTACTTGCTGAAGGCAGCTCAAGAAACATCACCAGCATGTGTGACACTCCTGTAAGAAGCAGGGAGGGGGCAGAAGATGCTGGTGGTAGTGTCCAGAAAGTGCAGGTGCCAGAGAAGCTGTTGCTGCAGAGCCTTTCTCCAACAGCCCTGTCTTGGCCCCCCTGATGCTGGGGGAGTACCAGCCCAGATTGTGAACCTGCTGGGGCAGCTTCTCAGGTTGGGCAATTTGCAATAGTTTTTCAGATGTCAGCGAGCCTTTATTTGCAGGACTTCCCCAAGACTGGGTATAGGGGAACACTCCCTTCTGGCATGCCAGGAAAGGAAAGGAGAAAAAAAGTCAAGGAGGAAAGAAAGAAAAGGGGGGAAGGGGGGGGGGGGAAGTGGAAAGGAAAGGCCTCTAAGCTCTAATCTTACATCTCTGGAACTTGAGCAGTTCTAGCCTGAAATCAAGCAGCCTACTGCTCTTCTGACTGCTACAGCAGACATGTGGAGGACTATCAGACCAGCACTTATCTCTCACCCCTTTGCCATTATCAGATCTTTCTCTTCCTCTGCTGAGCACACTGAGGAATGGGCAGAAGGATGAGAACAAATACTTGACCCATCCATTTTGCACCAGCAGAAGGTTTCCTGAGGAAGGAAAGCAACAGGAGGAAAAACAGGATACTGGGTACAACATGTTGGTATGGTAAGACATTGGGAGATAAATGACAGCCTACATCCATTCCTGTTGGGACATAAAGGCAAACAGATTAGCTGGCAGGTAAATACATATCCCACACCTCTCTCACCATAGGTTGGAGTTCTGTCCCATCTTCATTATCCTGGAAAGGTCTTCTGTGTTTTTGCTCGTCTGTTAACTTGTTACTCTGACTCACAAAGGTCTACGAGCAAAAAACAGGGTGAGATCATTTGGGAATGCAAACCATTATGTAAATAAAAATACCTGATTGAGGGAGAGAATTAGCCCCAGGCTAAGAAACTATAGCTGGTTCCTAGCTGGATGACACTGAGTGATACCAGGAGGGACCCTGCAGGAGCATCAGGGGTGATGAATGCAGCTGAGAAGGATTAAGCAAGAGAATCTGTTACATCTATTACAGGAACAAGGACTCTGGCTGCCTGAAATCCCTCACCTGGCTCTCTGCCACTGCCACATATTGCCCTGAGGGCCTCCCATCCCCAGATGTTTGTAACCCAGCTGTAACACGGACGACCCAAGTGAAATGCCTTCATGCATTGGGAAACTCAAAGTTCTTCGCTATATGAGCAAACTTACTCTTGATCATATAATGAGAAGGAGTTTGGATGTGCTGCCCCCAGTTTTTTCCCATACAAGGTTACACAGCCTATCCTGCCTGGAAGAATCCTTACCCCTGGGGGAAATCCCCTCTTCACCAGAGGCCCTAGGGCATGCCTAATTATAAGGAATTAAGACCAGAGTTAAAGAGAAACTGCCACAAAGTTTGGAAGTGGAGAGAGGAAAGCCTCTGTTTGCTTCATGAAGGAGAACTGGCTTAAGAAGTATTTTAGCATTTGGCAAAACAGAGGGAGAAGAATAGAGGTCAAGGCTTCAGAGTTTTCCATTCAGTAACATATTCCTATTCGGGATATGTGCTTAAGCACTGTTCTGAATCAAAGCCAAAGCACATCTGCTTGCTTCTGTATAAAGGGTTAAAGCCTATCTTTAGGCTGCCTTTTTGTTGGTTTGTTTTGTTTCCAACAAAATTCTATGAACATTACACGGAGTTAAACAGCAGCATCCAAAAAACCACAAA